AAAAAAAAAAAAAGACTACACATATCAAACCATTCATTCATTAAGCCCACAGAATACCTATTATGTAGCTAGGTGTGCTAGGGATACAATGGAACACAAACAGAGTCACATAGCTAAGGGTCAGGTGGGGGAAGCATGTTAATCCAATAATCACAAATAAATGGAAAATCATAACAATAATATAGTTATTTCTGTTATTGCAGATTTTTAAAAGAAATAAGCAGCTAGGTACAATTGACATTTTAATATCATATACATGTTAACCCTACCCCCCTTTTATCCCTGCATCTAAGTGGAAGGGCTTCAAACTTCTTTTAGAGTTGCAATCACTGAATTTTAGATGAGTTATGCATCAAAGTGATTGTTGGTGATCATTCTCTTTCACTGTTCTCACAGCTCTCACAGTCTAAACAGTGCAAACAAACAATAGGCATTCAGTAGCATGCTCTAGCATCAAAATATTTGTTACCAAAGACATAAGTAATCCAGGCAGCTTAAAGCCATGTTCAAAATGTAGAATCTAGGGTGAATGACCATGCCTTTGACATCGGTCTACCTCCTTTACAGGTAAAGTAGGCTGTGACGTGTTGGCCTTCTGGACCCACTAGGGCGCCATTCCTTTTTTTCTTATTTTTGTGATGTAAGTAAAGATGACATACCACTGCCCAAGTGACAAGTGCTGTAAAGGATTTTCAGTCTCCTAGACCAGCTCCCTCTAGCTGGAAATGAGGGAAGGAATGTATTGCAAGTCAGAGCTATTTAATGATGGATAGCATTAAAGCACAGCTCCCCTGACTACTAGACTGGTGCTCTTTTCCCTGAGTCACACTGATCATAATCTCACAAGTCACTTTAGTTTTTATTTCCTGTGTGGCAAGTAAATTACCTTTGCCAGCTGAAGAGCCAATGTCATGTGTAGTCTTACCTGATAGTCATTAAGGGTTCATCATATCTGGTAGTATTTCTTTCACAAATATCCATTTCATCGGTTTTAGTTATCCTCGTTGGTCAGCTAATTTGTTGATTTCAGGTCACTATGAACAATGTCTCCCCAATTAAAATACACTGTCCAGCCCAAGGCAAGTAAATAGGTGGCTTCTTTTCTTCTTGATTTAGATAACCAGGCAACTGTTTGCCTGTCACTAGTCTTAAGGAATTACAAAGTACAAAGAATTATAACAGCAGATACTCTCATTCATCCTCTTTCATGTGATAGAAGTGAAACACAACATAAACTGTTTCAAAGCTGAGAGCATAAAATTCTCAGGGATTAAATTTTCCGGTATTGAGAGCAGTTATTTTGCTGTTAGAGAAAAGGGAAACCCCCACATCCATTTCTCCTCTGCCTTGCCCTGCCCAACACACTCACACACACATTTTTATCACCTCTTATACTCTCAGGGGTCTCTCGGGGGTCTTAGGAAGGCAACTCATTCTCTGAAACAACTTTCCAGCAGCCGCTGCATCTCGTTTGCAGTTGTTCTAACTCGCTTCAGGTGCACATTTTCCTGAGACCGTTGTCTTAAAAAACTTTATATCTCTTCCTACGTAGCACTTTTAGTATCCCAAGAGTCTTCTTATGAAGCTCTTAATATTTTCCTGTGTGTTATTAGGTATTTTTTCAAAAATATGTTCCAAGGATAAATTATTATTTTAATTTTAAAAAAGGATGCATGTCACCCATAATGCTACCAAGACAACACTTATTCACATGCTGGAGTATTTCCAAAGGCTTTTTGTTGCTAAGTATTTTTTCTTAACTGTGATTATAACTTTTCACAGACAGTTTTAAGCAAAATTTAACCAGAGACTTTGAATGTAGTTTTTAACTAGTTTAATTTTACTACTGACACTCAATATAGAGAAAAACACCTTCTAAGCAAAAATATGTAGGTGAAGTATGAACCTGGTAGATACAAGAGCAATACATGGGTTTTATATATGATAATGGTTATGATATCTGTAACTAAAAGACTGTGAGGCCAGGAAATAAATATTTTATGCATGTAACTTTCATATTTTTACAAATGGTGCAAAGGAACTAGGGTGGAGAACTACAAAACACGAATGTGTTATTCTGAGAAAGAGGGAATTAAAATTAGGAACCATTAGGAATGGCATGTGTGGTGAGATTAGCAACCAGAAAAGTTTCCTTTAAAAAGCATAGATGGATTTAGGGTAAAAAATGACAAGAAGTTAGAACATTGAAAAAGTTCAGAGACATCACATAAGACCTGCGTGCCCTGGAGAGAAACAGTTAATAGAAATGTGTTTGTGGCTGGCAGAGAATCCTGGGACACTATTTCACTGGACTTTGATTGTCTGCAAGCAAAGCAATTTTACTTGGCATGAAGGAATTGAATTAAGATTTAAGAAGGAGAAGGAGTGGTCAGGGAGGAACCCGTGACCAAAGAATCAGATTGAAATAGCTCTAGATTAGATTCTGAAGACAAGTTAGAATGACCCCGTAAGGAAAAGTAGCATGAGAGGCATACAATAGTGGCTCAAGGATTGTGGCTAAGGGAGCAGCCAACTTGTTTGTGGAAAATTAACATAGTGAGGAGGAATAAGAGATTTTACTTGCTGTTAATCTACTCTCTCCTCAATAATAATGATGATCATGGCAGCAGCAGTAGGTAACATTTATTGAGTGCTTACTATGTGCCAGGCATCTGTTTTAATATACGTTGACTCAGGGATTCCTCACTGTAACCCTGTAAAGTAGGACCTATTATCCTCTCCATTTTACAGGACACAAAACTGTAAACCCAGAGTCACAGTGACTCTGGAGATCCAGAGTCATTCTGCTAGGAAGCACAGGAATTGGAACTTGAACCCCAGCTGTCTGGCTTCAGAGCTTGAGCTCTACTGAATTGTGCCCCAAACTCTCAATCTTACTTTTGCTTGGCCCTGTTTTGGCAGATAATCTTGCTTGCTACTTCAGGGAGAAAGTTGAAGCTCTGGGACCTTAAATCCTCAACTTCCTGTTCCTGTACTAAATATCTGGATCTCCTGCCAACTTTCCTTCATCACAAGGGAAGCAATAGCCTTCTGCCCTACTTGGGACTCTTCCCTCCACCTGTGCCGTTCATCCCATCCATACCCTCCTGTCACTACAATCATCAGGACCATGTTCCATTGACTCCCAGCCCCATCCCACGTCTTCCTTTCTCTTCTTTATTCCTACAAACGTTTTTGTCTTCTCTTTTCGAAAATAAACAACCTAGAATATGTTCTCTTTGCCTTATGCCTCTATGTGTCTTTAGCATAGAATCTCAATCATCTTTGTACCTCTAGAAAAGATGTTAAATAAAGTAAGTAAGTCTGCGTTGGAGAAATCATATTAGAACAAGGAAGCTGATGGTGCCCCTCTGCTCTGTGCTGGTCAGAACACTCTGAGAGTATTGTGTTTTATTCTGGATGTACAATTTGAATGATATGGGCAGATAATTGCATGTTCATAGGAACAATGGTGAAGGGACTTTAAACCATGCCATGCGGAAGCAGGGTCAGTTGAAGGAAATTGGATTGTTTATCCTAGACAGCAGAAGAGAAGACTTGAGTGACAAAAGAGCTGCCTCAAGTTTCTCAAAGACTGGCATGTAGGAGAAGGATTATCATATCTCCAAAGAATATGGCTAAGATCTATAGGTGGAAGCTACAAGGAAAATGATTTTTTTTTTTAAATATCGAAGTTGTCCAGTAGAGATTGGTCTGCCTTGACAGGTGTAGTGAGTATCTTGTCACTAGAAGTGCTGTCTGGATGGTCATATGGCAGGTGATTCTAGAGGAGATTTGAGCATAAGAAGTGCTGTTGATTATATGGTCTTTAAGATCTGCCCTAATCTTACTTTCTGGAAGAGCTGGATCCTTTTAGCCCATTGTGTTCTACAAGGATGCACATTAGAATTACCTGAGGAGTTTTAGGAATCAATATCAATGCTCAGATCCCACACTAGGTCAGTTGAATTGAAATGTTTTGACCAGGGCTTAGAAAGTAGTAATTTTTAAAAGCTCCCCTGTTGATTCTAAAATACAGCTAAATCTGAGAACCTCTGATTTAGCTGAACTAAGCTGAATGGAAAAAGATGGTGTGGATTAGTATTTTACTTATAGTAACTCATTGTAAATATAGCACTTGAGTTGTATATAAGTCAGTATAATGTAAATGCCATTGCATAGTGTATTTAAGCCTGATTCAAATTTTTATGTATCGTGACACATTATTAAAATATATTAATAGGAATAAAACTGAATTTCTAACAACCATAATATAAGGTTACTCAGCATGAGGGATTTTTGTCCATGGCTATTTTCTTAAAATGCAGGCATGCACGTGCACATACACATACAGGGAGGGAAATTTCTTGTAGCAATTGGTAAATAAATCACTGAAGTGATTGTTGGTCTGCTCAGAACAATAAATTGGGTATTATAAGTTTGGAAAGTTATTGCATTCCTTAAAGCAACCTTGGAGACTTTTATTTGGTTTTTGATCTGGGTCCATGTCTTTGTGTGCTGGTAGTGAAGTGGGAAGGAGTATGTAGAAAGAAAAAAAAAAAACAAAGTTGGCATTGGGTGTTCACTTTTCCTGGAGCCACTTGAAGAAAATAAACTAAATGTCACTACAATGTTTCAAATGTTCTTTTGCACTGTTACGTTTAGTTGTGCCTATAAGAAAAGATGAGAGCTATTCTCCTGAAGTAGTTTTTTATGTGTTTACTTTTCTATTTCCTTTTTTTTAACTTTCTCTTTAAAGCTATTGGTGTCAGCAACCAGAGGGAAACCACTGTAGTCTGGGACAAGTTAACTGGAGAGCCTCTCTACAATGCTGTGGGTAAGCTGTCATGTATGGGTATCAAATGCAGGGCGTTTTTCCACTTGAAAATGTGGTCATACTGAAATATCTTGCTAAAAAAGCATGCAGTCGTGTTTCCTATCATCCAATGGGATGGGCAGAACAGTCCTCTAAGAAATTAGCTGTTACATATTTACCATTTTCAGATCAGATATATTTGCATATTAAATGAACTCCTCTCCCATACTCTCCTCTTGCCAATTATTTGTCTTAAACAAATGGGTGAATAGTGCCAGAATTGTTTTATAATCCCTGCTGTTTCTGACATCTAAAAGAGGTCTCACCTCCTACCCTCAGAAATCAAAATTACAAATGTTCACTTATCTATCTATAAAGTACTTGTGTACTTGTTCTTTCCATCTAGGAATTTGAATTACTCTTCTGAGGTTATAAAAATAAAACATCGGAATTTTAGCCACTTCTTCTACAAATTTGGCTATTTCAGCAGGGCTTTAAAAACTCAAAATCTCAAATATACAACTTTTACGTATCATATCTTATTAGATGTAAATGACCATGGGTGTATTTTAGCATCATCCTTAGCACATGATAATTGTTGAGTACTGAGTGACACTGGTACTTCCTAAAAGGAAAATTTTGTTCTAAATGTATAATCACTAAAAATTTCATTCTGTCAGATAGCAGAGCATAACTTTTTATCAATAAAATACTAAATTTTGGGGATGGTATAGAAAATAGAACCAGAAATTGTCAGAGATGGGATGATTTATCGAGCGAGCTATTTTTACTTTCCAGTTACCTTAGTAATATAGTTATTCTAGTAGTGGTTGTAAGAAAGCAACATTAAAGCAGAAAATATATGAAAAAAGGTGCATTGTAAGAGTAGCATGAATTCTTTGGGAATAATCTTTATTAAAAAAAATAAGGTATTTAATGTTATTGTATTATAAGAAAGCATTTAGTATGTATTCTGTATTTGTGATAAGAAATTAAATTCTCAAAAAAATCTCAAAGAATTGCAACCAAAGATCCTGTTACACATAAGCACATCTTTTAAATCTTTATTTTGTTTTCATTCCCATGAGCAGTTCATTTTGAATTTAAGTATGGCAAATTATTACAATTTTGATGACCAGTACTTAAGAGAGTATTCTTTGATAGATCAATGTTAGCTAAATTCTTGAGCTAGTTAGAGTTTTACTTTCTTTTTCCCCTAGCAAAAGGAAGGAACCAGAAAGTTCCTATTAAATTCTAAAGGTTGAATTGTAAAAATAGAACTTTGGACTTTCAATTGTCATTTTAAAGTAATACAACTAGGTTAGCTGAATTTATGCTTATAGTGAAGGATTTAAGTAAATGTTTTACCAGAAAATCTTTCTGTTATGTGCTTACTTATTTCTTTTTCTTCAACTGCATCCCTTTGTACCTCTCTCCCATTCTATATGCTTTGCATTATTAATTCAAATGTACCTATAGGATATGAAGAACTTTTTTCTTTTCATTCTCATATGGCAGGGAACAGAGAGAAAGAAAGCAAGTTCTCTTTGGTCTTTTTATAAAGATAGCAATCTTATTCATGAGGGCTCTACCCTCATGACTTAGTTACCTCCCAAAGACCCCATCTCCTAATGCCAGCACATTAGGAGTTAAGATTTAGACATGAATTTGGGGGGGGACACAAACATTCAGTCCATAGCACTGTCTTTATGTTTTCTACCTTCCTTGTCCCTTCCTCTTATAAATCTCTGTCACTCTAGGCCTGTCCTTCTCTTCTTCATTTTTCTCTCTCTTTACTTACTAAATTATATAACAGATGAGCACTATTTATTACAAACAAACAAATGAGAGGAACAGCATATGTTTCTGTTTTTAAAAAATTTTCTTTTATGTGGCCTTCTTTGTTTATGGCTCAGAGGTACTTGGCAAGCAATAAGTTAGTTCATTTGCCCCCATGAAAGTAAAAGAAATATCAAGATAGGAGAATTTCAGGATAACATTGGTGGCTGTGGCATAAGCTTACTGAAGAAGTAGAAGACTGAGAAAGGCTATTTGTTCTGAGAAAGGCAACAAAGACGTGTTTGTTTACTAACATCTTTTCTAACAGATACAGTTGTAAACATAGAAAAAATTAATTGGGTCCATTGAGGCACAGATGACTTGTTTTAGAAGTTCCAAATATTTTTAGAATTTATGTGTTAATTCTGTGATTTGCAAGGTAAACATTAGTATGGTATCTAAAATGGGGAAGTGTCACTTTGCATCACTGTTTCCTAGCCACTGTGCCATGACGCAGCCATGTACTATGATGACCTCATTGGTTAATTGGTGAGAGCTTTGTGGCCCTGGATCTGAAGCAGACCTTTGACTTCTCTCACCTCTCTTCAGTTATCCTCATCCCCCTGGTACTTTTTTCTCTCCCTTTTAGCATTATCTCATCAGTGTTTTTTTTCCAAAGGGTTCCCTCCACCCACCCATTTTTCTAAGCCTTTTCTTTCCAAAACCAGCTTTTATTAGTGGTCTACATAAATGGCTGTCCTCTAAGTATTATTGAAAAAGATTTGGGTTTACAAATAAACCACATACTAAACTGAAAAAGAAGGACAGGACTACCTAAGTGGTTCAAATGTGGAGTGGGGGAAGGCTTTCCTTATTTAAATAAGGAAAAAATGTTTAAATGGCATTGCAAACATTTTTTTCTAAGATGTTGGATTTAAAGTTCCCTATGACACATAATTCTATTTTTTTATTTTTTTTTTGAGACAGAGTCTCACTCTGTTGCCCGGGCTAGAGTGCCATGGCATCAGCCTAGCTCACAACAACCTCAAATTCCTGGGCTCGAGCAATCCTTCTGCCTCAGCCTCCCGAGTAGCTGGAACTACAGGCATGCGCCACCATGCCCGGCTAATTTTTTCTATATATTTTTAGTTGTCCAGCTAATTTCTTTCTATTTTTAGTAAAGACGGGGTCTCACTTTCGCTCAGGCTGGTCTCGAACTCCTGAGCTCTAGCGATCCTCCCGCCTCGGCCTCCCAGAGTGCTAGGATTACAGGCGTGAGCCACCACACCCGGCCAACACATAATTCTTTATGCAGAGTATTGTACTTTCAAACATTGGTCGTTCTTTTTGCCTTTTTTTTTTTTTGCATACTGATTAATGTTGGGCCAATGATTAAACCTATGTGATCATGTGTTGAGATCTGAAGGAACCTTGAATTCAATCCTTTTAACTTTTCTGGAATGGGTTATGTTTCAAAGAATCAGCATGAAAGGAAACCGTAGATGACAAACCACCTAAAACTCATAAGCACTCTTGGCCTTAAACAATAGAAGTATTGTTTGTTTGGAAAGGAGTAGATTTTTTACTTTTGTAAAATCTATAATATTTACTTCATCAAGATCCACTTATTTTCCATTATTTCAAGTCTTTTATTATAAGGTTCTTTGAAAGCCTTACATCTCCTTTCAATCCTGGGCAAAGAAATATTGCTGTGTTTTGCAGTGATTGAATTCTTCAACTCTGGCTAGTTTAAATAAAAAGAAACTGACTTAGATTTCAATTTTGAGGTCTCCAATCTTTAATTTCTGTTTTTATACCATTTAAGACTATATCATAGAGGTTTAGTTCTGGATTCGGACTCTGGATTCAAATTTTGGCTTTTTCCACTTGTTACTTTTCCGTGCCTGTTCCCTTGGCAGTTAAACTGGGGAAATTAAAAGTATGGACCCCAGGCTGGGCGCGGTGGCTCATGCCTGTAATCCTAGCACTCTGGGAGGCTGAGGCGGGTGGATCGCTCAAGATTAGGAGTTCGAGACCAGGCTGAACAAGAGCGAGACCCCGTCTCTACTAAAAAAAATAGAAAGAAATGATCTGGACAACTAAAAAAATATATATAAAAAATTAGCCGGCCATGGTGGCACATGCCTGTAGTCCCAGCTACTTGGGAGGCTGAGGCAGGAGGCTCGCTTGAGCCCAGGAATTTGAGGTTGCTGTGAGCTAGGCTGACGCCACGGCACTCACTCTAGCCTGGGCAACAGAGCAAGACTCTGTCTCAAAAAAAAAAAAAAAAAAAAGTATGGACCCCATAGGCTTGAGGTGAAGATCTGTGAGTTAATACACATAGCGTAATTAAAACAGTGCCTGGAAGGCTGTAAGGCTTCAGTAAGTGTTAGCTGTGGCCACTGTTCTGAATTGGCTGATAGCCTTTTAAATCTAGTAATGCCAGATGAAATAATTGGTTTATACATGACAGGTGTTCCTAGGGGAAATGCAGAGCCTACCTGGGGTCGCCCACAGTCAGATTGGTCATTGGCATTTATACACCTAAGAGCTGAAATAGATTTCAGCCTCCCCCTTTTGGCGTATATGTATGTGTGTGTGCGTGCGCACATGTATGTATGAGAGGAAATGGGTTTAACTTACTCTTTCCTTCTCCACTCTCCATTTTTCTTTTGGCCCCACTTGTTTCTGAAAATGTCATCAGGTGATAAGCAGTCATCAATATAGTCTCTTCCTCCTTGCAAACAACCTCTTACCCAGCTTAATTAATAGCTTAACTTTTGGCAAATGGTAAAACATAGCAATTAAATCTGTTTTACTATTATTTTGTCTCTTGTCAGGGAAACGACCCAATAACACTTTGCATAACTGTCAGCAGTCCTTGCTTAGGATGTATTCCATAACCTTCGTCTCACTTCCTATCGCCCTAGAAGCTCCTCATAACAAACCATCTCAGAGGAGATTCATTATTTGCCTTTGTTTCTAGTCAAGTAGAAATAATTTAGATGATCTCTCTGGTTTTTTGTTTAGATTTTATTTTGTTTCTTAAATGCTTTTTCCTTCTGTTGTTACAACTAACCAAAAATTATGCAAATTTTTAAAGTTTTATTCTAAATATTTTAAAAATAATTTCTTCTTCTGTACTATTACTATATCAGTAAACTAACCCTGGTCCATGAAGATTGAAGTGACTACATTTTTTTCTTTTTTTTTTTTTTTTTTCGAGACAGAGTCTTGCTCTGTTGCCTAGGCTAGAGTGAGTGCTGTGGCATCAGCCTACCTCACAGCAACCTCAAACTCCCGGGTTCAAGCGATCTTCCTGCCTCAGCCTCTCAAGTAGCTGGGACTACAGGCATGTGCCACCATGCCCGGCTAAATTTTTCTATATATATTTTTAGTTGTCCAGCTAATTTCTTTCTACTTTTAGTAGAGACGGGTCTCGCTCTTGCTCAGGCTGGTCTCGAACTCCTGAGCTCAAACAATCCACCTGCCTCGGCCTCCCAGAGAGCTAGGATTACAGGCGTGAGCCACTGCGCCTGGCCTCTCTTTACTCTTAAAACTGTTTTTTTTTTTTGCCAGAACAAACTAAATCTACCAGACATTGGATGTGACTTTGTTTAATACAAGTGAGTTTCAGATCATCTAAGTTTTTTTTTTAACCTATTCATTTGATGGTCTGGACCATTTAATTTCAATACATTTGGTGTAGGTGTGGGACATGCCTTCTAGAAGCAGGTTGTATAGTGTTCTGGACTCCCTAGCATCTATTTTCTTCTATTTTTTCCTAATCACTTTGGAAGTTAGCAATTCCTGTTCCCTCTAGACATGTTGTCCCTTTCTGTGAAAGTGGCCTTTACCTTTAGCCACGCAACTAGAAAAGTGCTTTCTTGGGGCTCTGACTTCCCAAAGCAGCCATTTCATGTCTTACCGCAGGTGGCCACAACAGATTGTAGCATGCTCCTTATCACTCCTTTCTAACAACCCCTGCAGTTGTGCTCCCTCAATATATCACACATCATTTCAATTTAGTGGTTGAGTGAGCATTCAATAACCAACTAAGCCACTTTTCTAATTATGATGCATATATGTTGCCAGGTAGGCAAGAGTCATCCTAAGCAAGAAGCAGGTATTTATTTACCTGGCCTTCATCCAAATGGAAATACTATTGAACCAGAGATTCAGACTGGACTTCCTTTGTTCCCTTTCTGCTCCATGTCTCTTGCTTTTCTTTTTCTACACTCAAATGTGTAGAAAAATGTTCATTCTGATGAACTTGCCCAAGTGATCTACCATTTCCTAAGTGGCCAGCAAGAGACCTTGAATCTGGCCATCTCTAGCATGAATTGCCCTTATTTCTTCTAATGCTCCAGCTGCTCCAGTTTCTCCTGGCCCTTCAGTTCCAGTTGCCGTTGTTCCCTCTGGCTCTTCAGTTCCGGCTGCTCGTACTTCCTCAGGTATTGGTGCTCTGGCTGTTGTTCACTTCCCAGCCTTCCGACTCAGACATGTTGGGGGAAATTGCTGCTATTGGATCTCGATCTGTCACTTCTTTTGATTGTTCTCAGAAATTACCTACTCAAGGGGCTTAGTCCTCCAGCTTGGGATCTTCTCTTTGGCTTTGGTCTCTTCTGCAAATCTAATTCTGCCATCTTAGCTACTTTAATGAGTTTTCTAATCTTTTTGTTGTTAATTCAATTAATTTTGAGCATTTGTGAATTGCTTGGTAGTGTACCAACCACTGACATTTTTCTCTTTGGCAGTTTTACTAATTCATTCCATGTATTCTAATTGCCTTAAAGTCTTTGGCTGTAAAAACGAAGTAAATGTCATGACAGCCTTCTGTGATCATGGAACAATAGAAGGAGAAGGATTTTAGAGACCATCTAGTCCAGCCTCCTTATTTTATATTTAGAAAATCCAGGCCAAGAAGAATAAAAGAGTTGTATAAGTCACATAATCTGTTGGTGGTGAAGCCAAACATAGAATTTTGGTTCCCTGATTTCACCTCCAGTGTTTTGATTCTTTGTGGTGAAGATTTAACTCTGTGAATACCACTGTTGTCAGTCATAACTGCAAACTTTCAATTAAGTAATGAAGTGCCAAGTTACCTAAATGGTCCTTGTCAAGGAGCAATAGAGTCACAGAGCCACTGGGACTCAGGGAGCCACCTGATTGTCATTTTTTGAGTTTTGTTTTTAAGTAAATGATTGGATCACCTAATATCCTAAAGAAGATGCATGCCCTAGAAAAGATGTTGTCATGCTTTAGTATTATACTGAATAATGTGGGATACTTTTCCTAGACCTGCGACCAGAATCCTGCAAGAAAGGACCTGGATATGTGATTTCAAAGTTTTCTAGGTAGTTCTGGTATGCTTTCTAGGTAAGAACCACTACTGTAGAATCTAGCAGTGTTTCTCAAAGTGGGGGCATGTATTTAAAAAACAGATTTCTGGTTCCCATTCCCAGACCTCCCAGAATTTCTGGGAATGGGGCCTACCTTTAAGTTCCCTAGTGAATGTTATGTCCATTAAACTATGGGAAAAAAAACCCACTGGTCTAGAAGGTTTTAAGTCATTAAACAAAAAGCGTACAGCAGAGGCTTTCAAATGTATTTGTTCACGTCCCTTGGTAAGAAATACATTTACATCATGATTCAGCAAATCCATATAACTAAAATGTAGGTTTCACAGATCAATATTTATCTTACCAAGTGCAGTGAATTCTGATATTTTCCATTCCAATTCACCCTGTTTCATTTTTTTTAAAGTAGGTAATCAAAACTCACTAAATTGATTTATAAACTCATAGCTTACTATAGTTTCAAACACTGAGGATTGAGATATGCTTGGTAATTCTACCTATGACAGATTTAAAACTTTTTAACATTCTTCTACTTTTCCCAATTACTCCTGTTAAGCCAATAACACCTGCTAGAGTTCCTTACCTATAAGGAAGATCCACTTTTGTCACAGTCATACAGTAATGCCACTATGTAAAAAGTGGACTGTTTTTGTTCCCTGGACATGGGAGATATTGCCACCTCCATGATGATGTCACTAATGGCTTGTATTAATCACAGTGTTAATAATAGAAAATTCAACCTCAACTAAATGAAGTTTTTTTTTTTAAAGGGAATTCTTTTCCTTATGGAACCAGTGATCCAAGGGTAGCTTAGTTCAGGTGCTGTTTGGTTCTGGACTCAGGCAGTGTCACTTCCATCCCCCCTCAAGTCTGTCTTTCCTGGGATGGCTCCTGATGTGGCAGATTCGGCTCTCTCTTCATGGGGGCAGCAGGCCCAAGCCACATACTGCCAAGCTCAGCTGAGAAGAGGGACTCTTGCAGACTGAGCACAAATTTCGATTGGGCTCTTTGACCACATATTCTCTCCTGAACCAATCACCGGGGTCTAGACCCAATCCTGGAGCTAGGAGTAGGGTCAAATCTCAGGCAAATCTTGTGGCTGAGGATGAGGGAGGGCTGATTTCCTAAAGAGAATTTGAAATACTGCTCCTAGACATAGGAGGGGTTGATGCTGAGCAGCAAATGTAGATGTCATCTATAGGCCATCTATTTTCATGGTCTTTCTCTTTTTCCTCCTATTTTCTTGGTTGTGATGCATCTTTTCTTGCTGCTTTTCATACCTACAGAAACCAGTATCTTGTCCCAAAGTCCCTGATTTAAATCTCATGGTAGCCATTGTCAGAATCAAGCACAAGGCCCTCCAAGGAAATGATGGTTTAAATATTTAGAAAGAATTGACTCAAATTTACTACAGAGAAGAACTGGCTTATAAATGAATAGAACAGAATAATATGTTTAAGAATGAATCAAACTAGACAATTACTGCTAACATTCAAATGTGTAGTGGGCAAGCTTGTATAATCTTCCCTAGAGACCTTTAAACAGACTATATAGGCTGAGTCTTTTCTGGAGACATCTGAGCACAGTGTCCTAAAAATATCGAATGACCACTAATAGATTAAAAGTTACAAAAGTTATGTACAAAAATTAAATCTGCCAAAGCTCAGCTGACCCTATTAGCTACCTTTCACAATTGTTTTATATACTATAATATTTAATGTTTTCTCTTTCTCAAGCCTTCTGTCATGAAGCAAAACAGAAATACTTTCTACTAGGGGATCAGAAAGTGGACAATAGCTATTTAGTAAAGATAATGTTGATCTGTTAAAATGGAGATGTTTTTCCAACAATCCAGCATAGAGAAATAATGGTGACTTTTAAAAAATTCTTTCAATGATCCCAGGTCTAGCATACTTTGAAAGATTTTAATATAAATAAACATTTCATACATGAGAGACTAAATCTTTTGTTCCCTTCATAATAGGATCACATTCTCTACTTTGTCTTTGTCACAAATTGCTCCCAAGTTTTTTTAAGATACACACTTTATACACGATGCAGTGATCCTGGGCTGTGCATTTTACACTGCCAACTAGCCTGCCTAGCTTTTAGATCTTCTCTGCCCTCATGTATGCTTAGAAAATTCATATTCCAAATTTTTTTCTATGAAAAGAATACAAAATAAGTACCCTAAGGTTTGTATTGTTCTCCTAATTTGGTCTGTAATTTTGCATAAAAAGCCTTAAATTCTCCCTTATAAATTTATTCTCTTCTAACAATATGTTCATTCGTTTCTAATTTTCTAATTTCTCTCAAAAGCTATAGCATTTGAATTGCTTATAGTAACTAATCAGTTCTCCTATCCTTGACAGTGATTTCATTAAGTTCTTATTTTTAATGATATTTTTCATATATGTTATTATATTTTGGTCTATAGTATGGCTTGATCTAAGAACCCAGTCTACCGTCGAGAGTCTTAGTAAGAGAATTCCAGGAAATAATAATTTTGTCAAGGTAAGAAATCTCTTCAAAAGTATACTATAAGAATGTTTGTTTTAAAAAAAATTTGCAGATTTCACCAGAAAGACCATCTGGGCCTTACATCTATGGCATGATAATTATTTGATACCATTTATAGAATATTTCCCTCAGATAATTGAGGTCAGCTCAAGTCTTTACCTTCCTGTCTTTCTTGCCCTGTAGTAGATTAGAGCAATAATACCCCGATATTGACAGGCTACAGGGGATTATAATGTGTGGCTTAAGCCATACTCCCCAAGGGATGCTTTCCCTCACTTAACTATGCTTTCCAAATCCATCCCTATTGCTTTCTACTGTCCATCGAAGAAAGCTCTAGGTGCTTTTGAGTTTTTAGGCATCTGAATTCAGGGAGAGAGATAAAGTGGAAGACACTTTAGCCCTTTATTGAACTCGTCTTCCACTTTCTTAATATGAAGAAGGCTCATAAAAATTGCCTAATTTTCAGTCCTTGTTTAGATCTCTCTTCACATAAAAGAAGGGAGAGAGGATTTTTGAAAGAGGCAAGGCATTTTTCTTAATAAGGTCAAGGCCAAGTTCTTCTAGGATCCAAAAGGAAATTCCCTTTTCCTGTTTTTCTTTTCTTTTCTTTTCTTTTCTTTTTTTTTTTTTTTTGAACAGACTCCTTTTAATTTGTCAGTGGGACTCTTATGGCATTTTCTCTTGGTTCTTGGTTCTGAAACTAGTATTAAATCATGTTAATTGCAGCAATCTAACAAACCATTCCATGCCCCCTGCCCCACCCCAATAACTTCAGGCTTGTCCCAAATAAGCCATTTTCTATTCTGTTGTCTTTGTTACCCTGCCTAACCCTCACCCCACCTCCAGCTGCACTCTGCTTCAAGGGATACATGTTTTTCTCTCTGATGCCATTTCAGGCAACTTTTACACTTTCTACCTATGTCATGACATAAGATATTATGTACTATGTCATTATTGGCTTTGTAGGATATTCCCTGGTTATTCTGTGAAATGATCCTTGGTCCATCAGATCAAATAAGAATATTTTCATAAATCATTTCCTTCCATTATTTTTGAGCATTGATCCTTTTTATTTGTCTAGGA